AAATAGAATATTGATTTTACATAAAAAATAAATTACACCAAAAAATGCTTTCTTCCATACCATGACATATTCTGACCCTAATAGCATTCCATTACTAAGTCAGAGAAAAAGCTTTTAAGTACATATATTGAACTCTAGTTATAGGTTTTTTTCTATGCTAAAGCCTCCTTTGAAATTAATACAGATAAGAATAACATCAAAAAAATCTGAAAAAGTGATATTCATAAAATCAACAGAATGTTTGGGCTAAGATAACACAAAAGAGTTTACAGTTTGAAGGACCAGTTTGATTCAGTGGCTTTAATAAGTGGTTTTCATAGGGAGCATGGTAGAATGTTATGCTCTTCATATATGCAAATAGCATGGATAACATTTTCTACCCTAAGTAGCTAAGTTAACAAATTGTTACTATGAAAACCGATGAAGTTATTCTGATCTACAAGTTAAAACTCTTTAATATGGTTTAAGGTACATAGAGTGATTTACTCCCTTTTTAGAAAACCTGGCACTCAAAATGCCAGTTACTCAGCAATCCAAATTTTGACCACAGTGGTGTAAATATTAATTAAAATACACAAAATACATTTGCAAATTTTTTTGTCACTGTGTTTGATGTATGCAAATAAAATTGTGTGTGTTTTGTAGAGTACTTACCAGAAAATTGGTTGGACAGGACTAAGTATATCATTGAGAAAATATGAGTTTAAAAGGATAAATATAATTGCTAGAATCATGTTCAGAAATATAATACAAGGTCCAAGCAAAGTCAACAAGTTCAGAAGAAAGAATTAACTGCATTTTCTTTGGCAACAGATTCCCCTTAGTCCAAAAATTCTAAAAATATTAGGACAACAATTTGCCTTCTATTTATTTATTTTTTTATTTTATTGCTTACTTGTTGGATTTCTGTTTGGGGTAGCGATTTGAGTGAATATATTTCTCAATCAAGGTGATATACCAAGTCAATGTTAATTACTTCAGAAATACCGAGTGTTGATGATTCTATATTAAATAAAATGTATTTCAATTAATTGTCTGGGTAACTTAGAACCACTCAAGACTGAATCCTACAGCAATAAAAAAAAGAGAGAGAGAGAGAGAGAGAGAAGAAAGAGAGAGGAGATGGTTCCTGGTGTTTGTAGCCAACGTACATAGTTATGGACCACAGCGGGTTAGGAAAACTTGGAGATCATAGCGGGTTATAGAATTTAGCTTCAAGGAGCATTAATAGGATAAAAAGTTTAATTATTGATTTTAGTCATTTTGATTTTATTTGATTTGAGAAACTGGATCAGAGAAATTCCTGCTTTGGTGAAACACTAGAATTTAAATATAAGAATTGAATCAGTAAGATGAAACATGGCATATAGAAGCAATAGAAAATATTTATTCAAATTTTATACAAGTGTAGGGATCTTGAAACCAATTATAGCCATTATTCTTAAAACTAGAATAATTTATTCTTAAAACATATGTTAGAAGTGTTGTCATACATGAAACTGTGTCTCCCAGGCTCAATGAGGGTGCAGCTGGTTAATTGCTTTAGATAAAATAAAAACAAATGAAAATAAACAACAAAGAAGCAGCAGGATGGTGGTCTTTTAGTCAGCTTTAGAGAAACAAAAACCACTCATCATTTTTGGCATTCAAAATTTGGAAGCCCTATGTGAGTCCCCACCTCTATCTCTCTGTCTTTAAAAAATGATATTCTGAAAATCAAGACAATATTTCTAAATGTGCTAAAATATTTCAGAAATAAGTTGTGAAATGAGGGATGATCTTAACATGCTTCTTCAAATTAAAGCACCCCTGATTCCAGCTGAGAACAGTTAAAGGTGCTTATAATAGAAAGTTGCCTTGGCTAGAGCAGTGTGCTAAGCTGTACACTTACTAATTGTACTTACTTAAACTTACTAAGTGTACTAACACTTACTAATTGTAACTTAAATCATACTTAAAATTTTGAAGTTAGGAAACATGAAGACATAGATTCAAAATTCTTTCTACAACACATTACCTGTATGAGTTTGAATGAGTACTTTAGACATGAAACCACAGCTCTCTCAGTGCTAAAGTGGAAATAATTATAGAATGTACATTTTAGGGTTATTGGATAAAGTAAATCACATAATGTATATAAAATATCTAGCAGAGTATTGTTATATAATTATATTTAAAAACCATAAGATATTATTAATGGCTTCTAAAGTGAATTTTCTATCTAGATCAGAGTAAAATATGCAGATGTATAATATTGCTTTCTTATGTTAAGTTTCCAGACAAATAAAAATAGGTCTTTTTCATATTTTATTTATGTAACAAATATTTATAACTGAATTCAGCCCTTACCATTACAACTTTAAATTAGTGAAACCACATTTCGTATTAGTAAAACAAAAATTACAAACAAGGGATGTACAATAATATAGGTATACACATGCTATAAAGCTACTGCATGGGAATTACGACACCATATGAAGAAGTTTCTTGAAGATGGAGATGCATAGGCAAAATTTTGAAAGATAAACTGGATTTAACAAAATGAAAGGGCTGGTTCTTGATGGGAAGATGGCCTTGGCTTTCTGGCTTATCACACAAGTGTGAAGAAGTATGGATGACAAACCATTTGCAGTAGCACAGAGCTGATGGCATAGGTGTGTGTGTAAAGAAGTGGCAGACGGTCACCCCGTCAGTGATCTTGAAAATGAACTCAGTTGCCTTTTCCTCTACCTGAGGCTTCATTTCCGTGATGCCACTTTGTATCATTTTCAGCATGTCAATTGTTTTCCTTTATGGAAGGAACAAGTTAGTTTACTTAATCTTGTTCATCACTGTTACCAATGAACTGTTACCAATGAACTGGAACCAATGAACTGTTACCAATGAACTTTATCAGACCTTGTCCATGCAGTGGCTCAGCACTTCTTGGTCCACACCCTTCATTCAAAAAGCATATTTAAAAACATGGTGATGCTTTTTGACGCTTCCGTCTTTTTCCTGACCATCAGTTCACACTGAGGTCCTTCCTCTCAGCTTTTAGCTTATTGTAATCAGCTCTAAGTTAATGATTAATGTCTACACCAGCTGTTACATGCTATCAGTACACACAGTAGCACAAAAACACTTGCTATCACTTGGTCATAACTCTGTGGGATGTTTACTTACATTTCTTCCCCTCCCCCACATTTGTGTGTCTTTTGGATTAGTTCTTCTTTATTAGGTTTTAGCTCTTTTCCCAGTAGGATAATTGTTCTTGAACTTTGGTGTGTATCAAAATCACCTTGAAGTTACTGCTAAAAATGCACACGCTCTTCAAACATTCTAACTCAAAATCTTCAGAGGGGTAGTACGTGAAATGGAGAATTTGCCCTAGTTATTAACTGATCTGCAGGGTGTTTTTTATAATTACTTGATAGTAGGTATCTTTACATCCTTTAATGTGAACACTGTGGCACAATATTTTTCCCCTGTGTTCTTGAGTCCACCCCTCATGATGATCACAGAATGTCAAGTTTCGATCTGTAGACTGATATCATGAAGAACATTTAAGAGAAAGCTCTTCAATTCTTGCCTTTGTAAACCAGGTACATACAAACACTTAATTCTTATATGCACAAGTTGTGTACTACAGTGTATGCTTTGTGACCAGGAGAACATTTGATGGCAAATATTGAAAGAGTAAATTTAAATCTCTTGAAGGACTTAAGGGTCGTGTATTAGTTAAGGGTTTCCATGGAAATAATAGGAGATGTATATGTGGAAAGAGATTTTTAATAAGGAGGTGGCTCACATGTTTGTGGAGGCCAGCAAGTTCAAATTTGTATAACTGATATCCCAGTTCAAGTCCCAAGACTGGGAGGTGGTTGTAGAAGTGGGAGGAGCAGACATCCCAGTTTCAAGGCTGTCACACAGGAGAATTCTTACTTATTTGGTGGGTGGTCAGACTTCTGTTCTATTCGATCTTTCAACTAGTTGAATGAAGTTCATCAACTTGAGGAGCACAACCTTTATTACTCAACCAATTTAAATTTTAATCTAATCCAAATATAGCAACACAGAAACACCCAGAATAACGTTTGACCACATGTCTGGGCACCCTGTGAGTCAGTCAAGTTGACACATAAAATTACTCAGCATGGGTCCGATGGGTGTAATCTCACTCCTGAAAACTTAATCTGGAATTGATTAAGTTTGAAATGTGATCTCATTCAACTTTTTAATTTATAGATCCCATCTCCCTTTTCTCCCTGTGGATAACTTGTTTTCTTAGGACTATTAATTAAACTCTGCATTTTTTCCACAATTCTTTTCCCCTCCCACACAAAATTACTATAATATTTTAAATTTCTGTATCTAGTGATACGTTTTTAGGCCTCTGTTCTATTACACTGGTCTCATTTTTTCATCCCTGTACCATAACAACATGTCTTGATCACTTCAAACTAATAATAATTCTTAACATCTAGAATAAATCTTCTCATAATTTTTGTTTCCTTTAGGAATTTCTAGCTAGTTGTGGCTTTTTGATGTCCAATATATTTTAGAATCATGAACAAAAATCCTATTTGTATTTTGATTAGAATACACTTAATCTATAGATCAATTTGAGGATGATTAACTACTTTATGACATTGAATTCTCGAATCCTTGACCAAAGTCAGTCTCTTCACTTATATAAGTTTTATTTAATTTCTCAATATTCTTTATATTTTCTGCACAAAGATATTACATATCTTTTGTTAGATTTATCTCTGGGCATATTATCATTTTGTTTTCATTGAAAACATCTTCTAAAATTCTAATTATTTTTGAATCTTATTTGAAAATGCAATTAATGTTTGCAGATCAGTTTTATATCTAGAGAACTCATACAACGTTATTTAAAATTCTAATAATTAGTAGTTTCTCTGGGGGGGTGGGGTTATGTAGGTAAACATGCCAATTGTGAAAAATTTGGTTCTTCCTTTCTAATTCTTCTAAATTACATGCAATGTAGGGGCGCCTGGGTGGCTCAGTTGGTTAAAGCGTCTGACTTTGGCTCAGGTGATGATCTCACGGTTCATGGGTTCAAGCCCCGTGTCGGGCTCTGTATTGACAGCTAGCTCAGATCCTGGAGGCTGTTTCAGATTCTGTACCTCCCCCTCTCTCTGACCTTCCCCTGCTCACTCTGTCTGTCTCTCTATCAGAAAAAAATAAAACACTAAAAAATTTAAATTACATGCAATGTGATATTGTCCTTTTATTAGAGTCTACTTACATTTATCATTATTACTGACGTACATGACTGCTTTTTGTCTTTCTCTTCTAAGAACTATTAATTCCTTACACATTTTGAAGTATTACAGCAACTGGTTCTTTTAGTGCCTCTTTGGAAGGACTACCTAGTTCAAGAGTTCTTCCATTTAGATTATTGTCTAGAAGGATAAGAGCTTTGACCCTATTATTATATGTGGCTTAACCTATTTTCACTATTCAATAAGTGTTCAATGTCATTCCTTTTTTCTTAAATGTCTTAGGCATTTCAGCTTCTGTTTGCAGAATTTCTTCCCAGTTTTGTCCTATTACCTAAAGAACTCGAGATAGCATGATAACTGCTTGGCCTCTTCAACAAAGTGAACTTTTCTGTCTTGAGTCTCTAGTTCCCAATTACTTGCTTTTGGAATATGAGTGATTAGGAACACAACAGTCCTTGGTTCAAATACATGATATAAAAGTTTAACATGGCCAAGAAGATAGCCTACAGCCCTGCCAAATTCTTTTTCTCCTTATGTGGAGGGTCCTCTTTGTTTTTCTGAGTTCTATTCACTGAACAGAGTATTTTAGGGAGGACATCACGTTTTCTCAAGCTTCTCCTTCTAACAAGATTGAAGAGAAATTATGTTAAACATATTTTCCTATGGGTTCAGTGGTGTGGCTTACTTTTTTGACTCCACCTCTGTTGACCCAGCCTCTGAACAACTAGTCAGGTTTCCAACATGGTGTTGGTTAAAACATATGCCCACAGTAATAACAGAACACAGTAGCCATTTGTGTTTTACCAGAGTCTCCAGTTTTGTCTCATGAAAAGTTCCATTTAGTGCTCAGTAGCACCTCTTCCATTACTACCTCTTCCGTTACTTCCATTACTACTTCCATTACCTCCTCACTATCTCTCCTATGCTCTAAGTCCCTGTATCCCTGGAGACATGAGTCTCTGCGGCCCTATGGTTTAATTTGCAGATTGGTCATATCTATTCTGTAATAGTTATTTGATTTGTTCAAGGAGAAACCTAAATGCTTATCTAGGCTCTAGGGAGAACTTCTCCCAATTTCCTGGAATTGTCAACTTAGGTACTTGAATTATAACTACCTCAATTCCTACTTTTCAAATTTCATCTAAAGATCCCAATTCAAACCCTGCTCTGTTTTGCTGCCTTGGTTCCTAAAAACAAATAACTTTAGCTCAACTTCTTATTCTCACAACTTTTATTTACTCACAAAGCAGTTTGGTAGACTTCGATTTTTTTCAGCAGGTTGAGTTTATTCATCTGAATTTCAACATCAAGATCCAAGTAATCATTTAATCCAGTATAATGTCATTAAGAATATCTTTCCATATTCTTCTTTACACAAGTTACAAGACTTGAGTTCTTTTCTACATTCTCATGTGTCAACATATTTGTGTCTTCTCACCTTATCTTCACACTATAAAATACCCTTTCAAAAGCTAGCAAACCTAGCCCAGACATTGAAGCATTTGTGGCTTTTGAAAATATGTGTAACTCCTTATACTCATAAAATATCTAAACCTCTCACTTGTCTTCCTTCTTAGTTTCTTACTCTATAAAATTTTGGGGCTTATCCCACAAAAACTCATAAATTCCCCTTTCTATGTTAGGCACTGCACATTCTGTATCTATTTAGAAAGTACTTATATAGAGTATGCTCCACTCTATTTAGAGGTCCCAGTCCTATCTCTAGCAGTGTTTGTCACAAATGAAATAAGGCAGGGAGCTATGGATTACACTAAACAGCTGCTATTCACTGCTATTTCTGCCCCATAAAGTATTCCAAATCTTACCAATCCACAGTTTCCAGGGTTGTCCCTTTTTTAATACTTCATGAGGGAACTCTAGTAAGTTTACAATATTACACACATCTGAATTGCCAGCTGTAACATCCGATCTCAAATTCAGAGGCTTTCAAAGTCATACAGCCAGCCTTTTAGTTTTTTCTAAAACTTCTTTCTCAGTCAAAGGAGGAGTTCCCAGAGCCATATAAACATACCAGGTCAATTGACCCTGTCAATATTCTTGCTATATGAATCAACTCTTAGGCGGTCAGGCTGGAAAAAGTTCCAGGCTAATGTGTAACACCTTGGTATAAGCCAATTACAGCTGGATATTGTTAACAAAATCCAGATGACCCTGCACAACACTTGAAAATAAAATCCAGGGCACCTGGGTGGCTCAGTCAGTTAAGCGTCCAACTTCAGCTCAGGTAATGATCTCATGGTTCATGAGTTCGAGCCCTGCATAGGGCTCTGTGGTGACAGTTCAGAGCCTGGAGCCTGCTTTGATCTCTCTCTCTCTCTCTCTCTCTCTCTGTGTGTGTGTGTGTGTGTGTCACTCTCTCTGTCAAAATGAATAAAACATTAAAAAATAGAAAAGAAAATCCAAAGTTAACTGGGTCTCCCTGCTCCTGGAAATCTGAATAAGAGTAGCTGGGAGGCTCTATTTAATATCTTATAGACTATTCTCAAATTTTGATCAATTGTGCCTGAATTCTAGCTTCTTCTAAGTTCTGGATTCTATTGAGTCAGTTCATTTGGCATATATAATATCACTGATGCATACATGTTGGTGCCAACTAAACTATACTCATCCACATAGTTCTCAGGAACTTTCCTTAATTCTATAAAACACATATGAATACTTTAAAGCAATAAGTTCACTAAAATTTTGAGTAAATGGATCTTTTTCACAGTATTACATATAAACCAATTAAAATTGAAGACATTTTTAATGTAAAAGGAAAGGGAAAAAAATGCCCTAGGCTTTCTCCATGATTTGGATGTTAGTCTTTTACTATGTCTTCCACTCTTCCCATTTCATTGATTCACATAGAACATTTCAGTTTTTTCTATTCCCTTTAGTATATTCTTTTATAGGTCTTGTCTTTCCATCTACATTTAAATAATTGGCTCCACTAATCTATAGGCTACCTATTCCAATTTTTAGAAGTCCCACCCTCAATTGTTGCTCAGACAATTGCAGTGAAAGGAAAGAATCATTATGAGCATAAAGTGCATAGGGTTACAGGCAGTTTTTGATTTTTAAAAATAATTGCTTTCATCATTTCCAACAGTATAACATTATATTTACATATTGGACCGGAAGCTACTTTGCCTACTTGTCTTTCACCTTCATTGGCTCATTTCTTGTTTCTTTCATTTGGTTTAAGAGGACGTTCTCCTGTCTTCTTTTCTTCTTTCTCCCATTCCTTTCTCCCCTCCATTTCATTATCTCTGACTTTATCACTCTCTTCTCTCTTTTCTCTTCCTTTTCTTTCTGCCTTTTTTCCTACGTACATATTCTCTTTCAGCCCCTCTTCATTAAATTTACAAAATAAGAAAAAAAATTGCTTCTGGCAAGTGAACTACTGATACCTTTCTGAAGAGAAAATGTTCATCACCTAAATTCCCAAGTTGACATTTCGGTTACTAGTCATACAAATTTATACTATTATCTTCATGTTTCTCACAGATTATAAATTAGACTGGTTCTTTCCTTGGATGCGATTTGACTGTAAAACCTCATATGTTCCAACAGGGGTTGGAGATAGGGGTGGGAATAGCTTTTTGCCAAAGTGTCATCCCCTTGTGAATTCCAGGATAAAGCTGCCACATGAAGACACTTCCATTCCTTGAGTGATCTGCTAGGTCAGATTCCCTCATCAAATTCGTCAGTGTGAGTAAGTCTTTACTACTGTTATCAGCTTAAATTCCAGCCCTCTCATCACCATTTAACATTTCTCTGGCATGATTTAAATGGATTTTGACGGTATTCCAATATCAGAGAGCATATTCTGCCAGTATAAAACATGTTCAGTAGCTACAATCACAAAACATCTAAATTTATCCAATTTCATTTCTTGGAAGCTTCTTTCCCCTCACCCCACATGCCAAACTAAGTCATTTTTCCTGCCTAGTGGTACAAACAGGCCCCAAAGTATCCAATCTGAAAAAGGTTGAGATTGATTTAATGTTTTCAGCTGATTTTTCATTATCTTTGTACTTCTGCATCCTCAAATATTTGCTGTAATATTTCTTTAGAATTTATATGTTGGTTATACTATAAAGGATTGTTAAAATATTAGGGCTCATGTATCTAACCATTTGCCAGTCAGCTAACCTTAACTGATGAAGAAATGCAATGCAGAGAAGATAAGAAAGTTCCCCCAAATCATACTTCTAGAGAGTGGCCAAATTGGTTATAGGCATAGACTTCAGGCTCTACCAGTCAATATTAGTGTACATTTTGGGGCAGTTCAAATGTTGTTCTAAGTATTTTGGAATAGGGGTATTGACTGTGTATTAGACAACATTCATGCTTGTTGATTACTTACCAGCTCACAAAGAATATCTTCTATAAATACATATCCTTGATATTGTAAAATCTCTTTGCTACTCATTGTAGAAAATTATTGTATGTATTACAGTCAGTTACTGGATACACACCATTTCTTGCAATATTCTAATATTAAGTTGAACTTTATGAAATCAGTGAATGATTTTTTTACCTAAACCTTATAAGCTAATATTGTTTAATACTTTGATGACATAGTAAACAGCCTTTGGAACAAAAATAATGTCACAATCTGTGTCTTTTTATTTTCTGTTTGAGTGGAGATGGCCAAGAGTGGGTAGAGGAAAGTATGAATTTTGATCAACTCAAAAGGGAAAAATAATCCCAAGGAAAATATTTCTTTTGTAAATCTTTCAAAAGGGTATTGCAACTAATGGAGACTAAACAAAAATTAAAAACTGAATGTGGCAAATACTTGACAATGTCTCTTTAACAACTTCAGATCAATTCATTTTGGCCT